TTGAATATATAGTGCAAAATTTGTATTGAGCCCACATAGCACCCATCCCATTGGGAGAGGTATCAACTATCATGACATTTTGGCAGGCTTCCCAAAAATCAGGTTCATCCTTTCCATAGTGTGTTCCAAAATCTCAGTGACGACGATGATACTAACAACTCTTCTTTACATTTCTACTCCGACGAGTATGCTTGTCTCTACTCCTGTTCCTGTTATGCCTATCGTGGTTGAAGTTGTCTAACTCTGACTCGCATGCTTCTAAACACTTTCTTGATTTACTCCGATAAGAATGTTGGTCTCTACCGCTCTTCTTGCAGTGCCTATGGTGGTTGGAATGATCTACATCTGACTAATTTGCGTAATGCTTCCTAGATCTCCTTTCATGTTTCTCCTTTAACGATATCCTTTATCACCACCAGTCGATCCTTTTCGATCCTATCAAAGTTAGGGTATTCATTTTGGCTCGAGTATGAGGGGTTTCTTTATTCCTTTTTCGTTTTGTCTTGCTTGGATATCTCTTCCCCCTATCATCACTACACCATGATGTATACTCGACTGATGAGTTCTTTTTTTTGGAAGGCTTCTTTGATTTACTTGAATGGAACTTTTCCAGCAATTCAGGAATGAGATCCCCACCGAAGAAACCTCCATAATAATCAATTATGTCTTTCTCTTGATTCAGATCATCAGATCTTAACCCTCTTCGAGGGGAACTCGGCCCATAATTCTATTTTAGCCCTAATTCAAATGCCCATTAAGATCTGTTTGGGGCAGAATAGCTCGTAAGAATCATCTCTTTTAACCCTTTTTCTTCACATGACATTGTACCATCTTTTAATTGACAGTCACAATCATAACTTTGGTGACCATGGTTTCCCCATCTCAAGCATTTAAAATAGCATATCTCCACTCCAAATGGTTTTGAGCTGGTAATAACATCAATGTCTAACCTTGGAGCATTCTTGAGAACCTCAGTTTTTTTTTTGTTGGCACTGTAAGACCAAAGACAACTTTTGGTCTAAACTTTCTTGTCACAGCTTCAAGCGTTAGCATGGAAGACCCAATTTCAGATGGCCCATGGGAGCTAATTTCTTGGTCATGCTCTTGCTTCTTTCTCTCATCGGCCAAATCAGCAGCCTCCGCAATCTGTGCATTAGGGGAATCAAACATACGCGGAACCAAAAGCTCTCATCATCTCCATCTACCAATGGTATTTTCTCACAATATGCAAACAGTGATGCTCCCCGCAAAAATTTCAGGGGAAGTTGAGAGGAATTTGTAGAAGGTTTGTTTGGCGACAGAATGAGTCTACTAGAAGGATGAGTCTTAGGAATTGGCAGAAGCTGTGTATGATGAAGCTACATACGATTAGCAGGAGTCCATCATATTATTTAACATCATTATAATTACTAGTACTTGCCCCGTGCGTTGCACGAGTTATTTTATAAATGTCCAAAATTCATTGTGAATTTTAATTTATATTGATAAAAGAATTTATATTTGAGTCATGAATATGGATAAAATGTGTAATTTTATGCAGTCATCACTATCATACGGTTGTACATATTAATTTGTGATATTTAAGTACTTTTAAAGTATTGGAAAAACATAAAGATAACATGCCAAAATCACAATACTTCAAAACGTACAAAACATGGAGTTATTTTTTTCAAAAAATAAAATTTTATTAAAATTGACTTGAAGAGCCAATATGCCTATAATAATGAATAACAATCCACAAAAAAGAAAGAAGGGTAGTTACAAGATCGACCACCAACTTCTAGAAACTAATTTTGGCAAAAAAAAATTATAAGATATTTAGATATTCTACCAAATAAAATGGCGATATTGTGAAATATTTATGATATGGTGAAAATATTTTTTTGCATATTGTTTCCTTGAATATCTCTTCATATATCTAAAAACTATAATTAAGAATCTATATATATATATATACATAAAAGAAATAAGTTTTAGCATCAAGAGAGGGTTAAAAATAAATTCCATAAACAAATGATTGATAGATTAATCGAATCGTCGAAGTGATGGTGAATGGTGATAAATGATTGTTCCATGTTATTATTCGTTAATGGTGATTGTATTTTTTTATTAAAAAATCGAAATAAGATCGAATTTCTAAAGCAAAACAAAAAGAGAGGTCTCAAGAATTTAAGTACCTACTGCAAAGATTATTAGAGATCAGTTTAAAGAAAAAAGAAAAAAAAGGCTCACGTCCAATGCCACTTCTTCCTCAGCACTTATGAACACTACATAGAAAAAGCTAAAATGAAAAGAGAACCAAAATCACAGTCCACAATACTAATTCAACTTTTCATTGAATATATATGATGGAGTATTAATTTATGTCATGAGTAAGGTGTATAACCCGAAACTCAAACATGACAAAAATAAAGATAATTTGATACAGAAAAGCATAATCAAAATCTTAGATAAACCCGATATGAAAAAGGCTTACATGAGGTTTTCACGAAAGATGGCTTTCCTCAAAAACTCTTTTACTGAATTTTTCAAAATCCCAAAAGTTAAAGAGAAAAAGAGCTCCACGGTATAAGGGGTCACTGTTGCTTTTCATCCACCCAAATCAATTCCCACAGTCTGGTAAAAAAAAAAAAAGATTAAACACCCAAATTCACTCCAATAGAATATTCAACAAATTCAATGAAAGATAAAATCAGGTGAATTTAAATAGTATAGTATGTTTACCTCTGATTGTATAACCGAGGTTGAGCATCTTTTTAGCATAGACAGTATATATATATATATATATATATATATATATATATATGTAATCATCATTGAAATCATCATTTAAACTCAAGCATTGAAATTATTTCCGTAACTAAACAAGATTTTTTGTAACCAAATCTTTTTTTTTTAACATTAAGTCAAATAGTAAAGTTTTTATTATATAATAGTAATTTTATTTTTTACAACCAACTTAATTGACTTTCTAATTTTATGCCAAATCAACATTTTCCATCCTCTATTAATATATATATATATATATATAGATTAATATTATTGATGAAAGTATCCTTCTTAAAATATATAGAGATTGCCTAAACTCGAACTTTAAAAATTTTGACAAACCAATAACCTTATAAGAATTTTTTTTCTTTTCATTAACAAAGATGATAGTATAACGGGATACTAAGGTGGAGTAAAATTCTAGAATACTAGTAAACACTGTCATAAACTCAGCAAGAACTTCTTCACTACATCAATTTGTTTTCAAGACAAAATCTATGATAAAGACCCTCACTCATAAACTCTCCACCACTCAAACAAGATTCCAGCCTTGTTTTTCCTGAACCTAAAGAAGTGCTTGGCTTCAACCGATACCCCCTTGCAAGTTTTAGTTGTACTTTAGAGATTTCCAAAGGTTTCATTGCAAGCAAAAACAAACTCTCCTTGCATAAGTCCTATTAGGTCTGTTTGTGCATTTTTTTTATGTATATGATGCTTCTTTTGAAAATGAATTAACCACACAATAGACTCCTGGTTAAATAAAGTCCTTTATTATAACTACTAGTTTTGGATGTTCGACCAGTTCTTATATTAGATGTTGATTTGTTTTTTTTGTTTTAGAAGGAACCGAAATAATGTGGTAGTTAATATTTTTATGCTATATCGTTTGAAATAAAAGAGAAGGTTTTTCTTGATAAATAATAGAAATGAGCATAAGTAAAACAAAGATTTATGATATAGATTTGTGCTATGAATGTACTCCAAATTAACACACATAACTTTTATCTAATATTTGACTTATTAGACAAATGGGTGAATCACAGCAGCACAAAGATGCAAACATAATTAAGTAGCTGGTGCTCGTGATTGAACAAGAATGAAATATTTTCAATACCATAAATTTGTTGTTCAACACCGGCAATCATGGAAACATTGCTTTTTGAAATAAATGCCTAAAACAACCTCCTTTAGGATTTCTCAAATTCAATACCCAGAATAGATGCATAAAAGTGAAAAAGTTCAGTTTCAGTAAGGAAGAAGAAACACTTACAGGCTTGTAGATGGATATTGCAACAGAGTCTGTGATTCAATCGAGTTGACATGTCATTGAATTCCAATTAAATTCTTTGTATGATTTCAATTTGGAAGGAGAAGATGAATAGCTAAGGATGCAGCGGTCATGTTAGTGTCAAATGGGGAATGGAGATTGGTGAAGAAGTGAAAAAAGTGTTCAATGGGGAAGAAATGGATAACGGAATATAAGGGGTCGAAACGACATCGTTTTGACTGCCTGGTTACCAACTGGAAAATTTAATGACATAAATGTCACCGATTAAATTTATAACATCTATTGATTAATCACAATTTTCAATTCATTTATTACCCAATCATATCGCTCATTGAAACTTAAATATCTCCTGATCAATCAGAATCAAGATTCTAAACTCCCTAGAGACTTTTATTGTAAGTAGAGATAAGACTATTTGGCAAATAACACCAATCCCATCATCAAAATTTAATTTTACTTATTGTTGTAAAAAAAAAGGAACTATAATATTCTTACTCTACCTTCATTAATTATAATCATTGCGTCAAACTTTTAAAGTAGAAGCAAAAAGAAAAACTGGGATAGAGAATCATATGTTTCCTCTTTTGTTCACCAATTTGATAAAAAGAATACACGTGACGAATTTGTTTCCTTATCTGATTACGTCTAATGTTGCCTGTTATATTAATAGTTCTTCTTTTTTTAAAAAAAAAGAACACTATAAATAATGATACATTTAAGAAATTGAAAGAAAATAGTCCGTTTTTAAGACTCCTTCATAATCTCATTTTATTAAATAAGACATGCAATAACTTCTGCATTCGTATATTTTTTTCTCCATATGAATTTTTTGTGTTTCAATTAATGCAATTGGTGTTAGTTATTCTTTGCAGAATATATTTTTGGTATTTTCTTTGTTGTTTCGGCTGGTTCCATTGCTAGTATTGATCTAATTCATAGGCAAATGGAAAGAGAAGTTTGGCAATTTGAGAATGCCTGGGATGCTGCTCAAGGACTCTTGAGGTTCATTGTTGAGAAAGATTCTGATGTAAGTTTTGCCAACTACAGTTTGAAACATGGACTGCAGGCATATTTTGTGGATGAAGAGGGTTCTATCAGCGAAATCTTGAATGTAACAGATATTTCTTCTAAAGTTTGGAAAACTGAAAATGGTGGAAACACTTGGGCTGCAGGATCTGGTGCTAAACGTTGTCCCAACCTCTTGATTAGTTTCACCCCAGAAAGAACCATGGATTCGGGTTTTGAATACTCCTAAGGCTTATTTGTAGAGCTGCAGAGTTTGATCCCTCCACATGAAGATATTTCAAGGCTGTGTATATTGGCCCTAACACTCATGTCCAGCCTTTCCCCGGAGTAGGAAGAAAAATCGTCGATATCAACCATGACCCCTACAATGTGCAACAAATGCCTATTGTACATTATCAATCTGGTGCACCGAGGTAGAGAGGTCAAGGCGCAATGATGTAGAGAAAAGATCACGGAAGCTGAAATTGACTCTCACAAAGAGCCATCTTTAATCTTTTGTGTGTGATGGTTTTCTCGTTGCATCATTAGATGATTCTGGAATAGCATGTTTTGGAGTTTGTTATGATAATTAGTTTTCCTTACGTAGAAAGATCTTGATTTGGAGCCACAAATTCTAAGTACCTTGATTTGTTTTGGTTTACCCTTTATATATTCGAGGATTCATAGGGCTGAAACTTCAACCTTAGAAAAAAAATATTGTTTTTAATAACTACACTCAATTGCTTTTTGTTGGCTAAAATTTAATATGAGGAATATCTTTTTTTCCCCTACAAAATCTATTTCACACGAATTTTATACAATATTTTCAATACAGGTGCAACGCCCGGGATTAGCACTAGTGAGTCTTAAACATAGAGATGATTATCTATTTCTTGTCGATTGTAAAACATATCGTTATATAATATTTTTTAAAAAGTATCACTAGTATAGTAGCCAACAACATATCTACTTGAATATAAATTCAATTTCTTCAAATGTATTTTCTATATGGTTGAATTTTTTTTATTTGACAAAATTAAAACCATTTATTTGGTGTTGTTCGTTCATGGCCTCACCATATCTGCTCCGGCGATTTCATCAATCTCATTTACCAGGAGTTTGATATGAGTTCCTTCACACTGTAGTCTCTCCTACCTTGTAGCGTTGTGGTGGATATAGTTAATCGTTGCAACATTATGGATTTACTCGTCTTGCTGGGAGTGTGTAGCGTTTGGTGAGCTAATTTGATCAAACTACTGGCTACCTTGAAACTTCACTTAGCTTTCTTATTTACTAAAATGGGAATGATGCTTGTTCATTCTACTGCACGAGTGAAGAGGAAATGAGAAAATAAAATTTGTGAATTTCAGAACTAAGGGTATGGATTGTATCACATCAAAAGAAGGTGGCACCTTCTCAGGAGCCCCCATATCTTGTATTTCTTCTACCCTTTCTCATATGTGGGAGATTGACTTTAGGTTCTTAGGTCTGGGTCAAGTAGCTATTTTCGTAGAAAACTCCTTCTACTTCATGGATGCCCATAGATAATCATTGTGCTTCTCAGTGAACAACTCATCTTGAAGTACACGTGTAGGCACCCATGGGCAACACGAGTTCTTAGTACGCACTCATATGGTATTGACGTTTCATTTTATCAAAAACCATGCCAACTTTCATCAGTTGAGGGGTTGGATCACAGTGCAAGTAGAGGACTATATGTCAATCTCTGGCAGCCAGCAACTTTAACCCAAACATAAACTTTTTCTAGCCCAATAACATATATGAACGTCCCATGTTAACACACTTGAACCACAACATGGACCTTAAAAGTTGTACTTTATATTTATTCGGCCCAATTTCCTACATTTGTTCATCTAAATTATTCTTTATGCCTTAATTTTTCATGTCTATCAATTTGATTTTCAAAAATAACCAAAAAATATATATATATATATATATATATATATTACACTATTAATGTGGTCATTGGTCAAACTGGTCAATGCTCAAGATTCTACACACAAATTTAAATTACTTTAAGCATGAAAATTTTATTTTTAAGGATCATCCATTTTGTTCCTAAATGAGTCATAGAAAAAAAAATTAAACAAATAATATTCATTTTAAATCACATAATATCTCATTAATCTTTTTTTTCAAAAACTAAAACCAAAAACAAAAAACTATTTGGCGTGTTTAACTATTAAAGTTTTTACAAATGTCTTAATAGATGTTCTATTATAACACATTTGTTTAAGTGTATCAACAAAGTTTCAACAAGTGTAGTAATAGATAAGTGTCCCAAATGTATATTTTTGTTGGGACATAGAAATTATAATGTCTTAACCCAAGTGTATTAATAGGGGGTTTCTCTAGTAGTCTTTCTACAAGTCAGAGGAGCTATTAGCTGCTAAGGATGCGAAATAATTTGCTGTAAAGTTAGACTCTCATAAGTTAGATTCTCATTAATAAGCTATTAGCCGCTAAGCATATCTTCTCCATCCTAGTCTAGTTTAAATTTTTATTTTTAATTCAATTTATTAATGAAAATCTAAACTAAACAATAATTTCTTACATTAGCCATCAATTCTGATTGAAGAGGTTGCTTTACAGCACTAACTAAGCCTCGGTTCATGCGCAAAATTTTGTCACGTCCTTGCACCAAGAAGAGAAAAAGTATAGAGAGAAATGATAAAACCAACATCTCCAACAACCCGTGCTAGTGTGGATACATGATCATATTGAGAAAACAGAATGGAATCGGGTATAAATTAATCAAAAGTATTCATTATTAATAATCTTGAACGACTACAATGATTGTATATTAGCTTTACAAAAAACGAAAGCCAGGTTGGGAGTTGAACGACTACAATCATCCACATGTAAATTAGCTTTTCTTTTAGGAAAAAAAAAAGGAAAGAAAAAGACAAGGTGACAGCAACTTGGGCCATACGACAATAACCGAAACAATATATTAATTTGATGAGTTGACTATGTTGTCTACAATTTCTTCATCGTGCAAACTAGAGAATTTACTTGTGCTTTCAATAAATAAATAAATAATTAACATGACTAGTGGTGAAGGCGAATTCTGACTTGTCTTTCTTTTTCTTTGGACAAACACACTTTTGGTCCATAAACTTTGGGGGGTCACAACTTCGTGTCACCATTACATTTTGACTGATGAAATTGGGCACCGTCTATTCGGAATTTATGGTCAACTAACGGTCAAGTCTTTACTCCGTTATATTTTTTGTTTTTTAATTATTTTTTACTGAACCGGGGCCCATAATGTATTTTCAATCGACAAAATCAGTCCTTTAATATCTTTTTTTCAACAATTTTAGTCACTTTAATAGAATTTTCAAAAACTTAATGGCCTAATTCATTTTTCCGTTAAATCTTTTTTTATTGATTTTTTAATGAATTATGGGTCCAACGGGTCTTTGATCAGATTTTTTTTAAAAAAAGAAAAAAAATTAAAGGAATGATGAAAATATTTCCGGCCAAAATATGCTCTGTTCATTCTTGAATTTCACTGTATTTTTTGGGTTTTTTTATACCAAGTCACATAAACTAAGATAAAAAATCATGAAATTCAAGAATGAATAGAGAATATTCAGAGATAAACACTACGACAAGAACAAAATGTTTGAGACAAAACCGAAATTAAGAAAATAAAAGAAAGAGATAATGAAAGGGATGACTCAAACAAAAAGGGCTGGTAGTTTAATTGGATTACCCGAAAAATAAATTCTAAAAAAAAAAAAAAAACCAACAACGAAAACGATCAATAATGAGACTCCTTTTTTGGGCTACTTTGCCGGCAGGGAGGTGATTGTGAAACATCGGCGAGTAGAATATTGGGGTTTAGGAAGTTGGCCGGAAATAGTTTCATCTTTCCTTTAGTTTGTTTTCTTTTTTTAAAAAAAAAAATTATGAGCAAAAACCTATGGGACCCATAATCCATTAAGAAAACAAAAAAAATAAAGATTTAATGGAAAAAAACCCAAGAAATTGGATTATCCGAGAATGGAAAAAAAAGAGGGCTATAATTTAATTGGATTACCCGAGAAATAAATTCCAAAAAGAAAACCCAACAACGAAAGCGATCAATAATGAGACTCCTTTTCTGGGCTACTTTGCTGGCGGGGAGGTGATTGTGAAATGTCGGGGAGGAGAATATTGGGGTTTAGGAAGTTGGCCAGAAATATTTTCATCACTCCTTTACTTTGTTTTCTTTTTTTAAAAAAAATATGATAAAAAACCTGTGGGACCATAGTCCATTAAGAAATCAATAAAAAAATAAAGATTTAATAGAAAAATGAATTGGGACTTTAAGTTTTCGAAAATTCCGTTAAAGTGATTAAAATTGATGAAATAAAAGATATTAAGACTGATTTTGTTGTTTGAAAATACATTGCGGGCCCCAATTCAAAAAAATTAATATAAATTAAAAAATTAATGAATTAAAGAGATGGCCGTTAGTTGACCATAAATTCCATTAAATTGAATAAAATTGGTGAATAAACGTAAGGATGGTGACCAATTTTGTTAGTTGAAATTTAATGGTAAGTCGAAGTTGTGACCCCCCAGAGTTTAGGGACCAAAATTGCGTTTTGTCCTTTCTTTTTTCCTGCACATTTACATAATGTCCATCTCGATAATTTTCTCTTTTAAGCGTGACAAACTTCACTTTTTTAATCATAATTTTATTTAAGGAACATAATAGGAAACTCAATTCATTTGGAACAAAATAAGGCAAAAATAGAATTCTTCAATAATATTTAATAATTTTCACCCTTTAGTTGCTCTGACCAAAAAAAAAAAAAAAATTCCAAATTGAGGTTTCAATTTTGTACTAACCAATGTGTGAACTTCTTTTTTTAGCACAGAGGTAATACAATATTCTATGATAATGGTAGGGAGGGGTCATTGGATATGTAGAGAAAAACACAGTATTTATGAACCTTGAATTTTCATAGTCAACCCAGATCCCGCCAACTTATCTTGCATCAAGCTCTGAAGGCGTTCAGCCATATCCGGAGAGAGAAAATCAACCCAACCTCCAACTTTTCCCTTCCTAAAATACGAACTGTGTTTACTTTTATGCCCATGAGTTTCGGTTTCACCATTTTTGTTGCACTCTAAGTTTTTGAGATTCTGGAGACTTCAAAGCTTAGCTATCTCCTCAACCAAACCTTCATTCTCTTCCTCCTCCGTGAAACCATATCCCAAGAATTCTACAAT